GCATCGTTCATGGAAGAAGAAGAATCCCTACAGTGTGGAAGAGTTATGGTGAATGCAGAACAGTTTGAGAGAATGTTTCCTCAGACTAAGGAAAGATTGGAAAACGTGGGACTGTTTTCCTTGGACAGAAGACTAAGAGGAGATTCGACAGACATTTTCAAAATCATTCAGGGTCTGGACAGAGTGGATAGGGAGAAATTGTGTTCACTTGTAAAATAAAAGAACCAGAGAGCAGAGTTTTAAGATTTTTGCAAAAGCAGCTAATACAAGGTTAGAAGAACCATTTTTCACTTTACAGATAGAGTATTGAATGCACTACCCAGAAGTGAAGATTGGTTAAACAGAAACATTACCTCTTGAATATCTCAATTGAGCCTGTCTCCACCAGAGGCATTCAAGAGGGCATTAGTAGGGTTAAAATGGGGGAAAATATAGGCAATTGACCCTAAGGCAAAATGCTCATAGTTGGTGCAATACAATGGGCTGAATGGCCTCCTTCTAAACTGTGAACTTCTGAGATTAAGTATCACAGCAAGTGTGCATTTACCCTCCACTCGAAACCTGCCAGGGTAGGCCAGCAGAATAAGCGCAGACAAGCCCAAGTTGGAACCTGTACCTGTCACTGCCCCAGAGTATTCTTACATCAATTTATAACCAATGAAACACTTTTGAAATGTAGTGAAACATAATAAGTCAACTCAAGCACTGCAAGTGTCCCATATGATTTGCTTCCCATAAAGCAGAGAAGGTCAAGACAAAATTTGGCAGAGGTGTTCAAAAGCATGAAGTGTTTAGTTTGAGCAGATAGACATTTGTACCAATTGGTACAAGAGTCTAGAGCCAGAGTGCACCAAATTAAAGCAGAAGACCTAAAGGTGACATAAGAAAAAAACAAAGACATTATAATCTCATATGCACTGCCTGAAAGGATAGCATTGGTAGGTTCAAACATGGCATTCAAACTAAATAATTACAGGGGCAAGGCCAGGGGAGTAGGATTAGCTGGCCTGCTGCTACAAAGAGCCAACACAATCTCAATTGGCCAAATGGTTTCCTTCTGCACTCTAACTATTCTATAATTGCAAAAGCAATGAGATACTGTCCAAAACAATTTTATGAGATTTTAGCTGGATGATAAATATTGGCCAGGGCTTTGGGAGAACTCTACTGTTTTTTGAGTAGGGCCATTGGATCTTTTGTACTCATTTAAGAGGCAAATCACAATTGGTTCAACTTCTCATCTTAATGCCGGCATCAAAGGTTCTCCCTAGGTCCTGTGCTAATGTGTTCAGATCTCTGCAATGGCCCTTAAACTCATGACCTCTGACTCACTAAGAATGCTACAAAAGATGACAAGGTTATCATTCAAGAAATAATCCAATTAAATTGTAAAGATTATTTATGGCAGATTTTGAACGTCATAATTAATATTTATTAACAGTCATTTTGTTAAAAATAACTGTTGGGAAATGTCACAAATTGGGAGTTATATATCAGTTTATTTAAGAAGAATTATCTGGTTAGCATTCTCTCACATGCTCAAATAATTAAACAATGTAACTTTAAAAAGAGAATGCAAGAAATATCCAGTAGATCAGACAGCATCTACCATGGGAAACTCAATCAACATTTGAATATAATCTTAGGTCAGAACTGGGAAACCAGCTAACAAAACAAAAATGGAGGATTGACCAATGTTAAAAAGATACATTTAGGTGACTACTTTCTCACTCAGAAGTTACAGGGTCTAAAAAGTATGTAAGCAATGTTATTTTAAGACCTGATAGACTATAAATATTAATATAAATATAATATTGCATAAGTTAAAAGTAAATGCTAGATAATGTAGTTTATATAAAAAACGAAAGAACTGTGGATGCTGTAAATCAGGAACAAAAACAGAAGTTGCTGGAAAAGCTCAGTAGGTCTGGCAGCATCTGCGAAGAAAAAAAAATCAGAGTTAACATTTCGGGTCCGGTGACCCTTCCTCAGAACTGATGGTAGCTGGGAAAAATGTCAGTTTGTGCACAGAAAATAGGTAGGGGGATGGGGTAGGGAGTAAACGATAGGATAGAGCCTGAAGAGCAGTTAGATAGACAAAGGAATTGATAACGATCTGGCTAGGAGGGTAAATAGTTGTTAATGGGGACTGTTAGTGACTGACAATAGGTAGTGTGTAATGGCAGGTTATGAGATAACAAGGCCTGGGATAGGGGGCTAGGACTTGGGAGAGTTTAAGCCCTAAAATTGTTGAACTTGATGTTGAGTCCAGAGGGCTGCAAGGTCCCCAAGCGTTGAGCTTTGCTGAAACACTGCAGCAAGCCAGAGACAGAGATGTTGGCCAGAGAACAGGGTGGTATGTTAAAGTGGCAGGCAACAGGTAGCTCAGAGTCTTTTTTTTGCGAGCAGAACATAGACGTTCTGCAAAGCGGTCACCCAGTCTGCTTTTCTGAAGAAGGATCTAGGCCCGAAACGTCAACTTTCCTGCTCCTCTGATGCTGCTTGGCCTGCTGTGTTCATCCATCTCTACACCTTGTTAACCCAGTCTGTGCTTCGTTTCCCCAATGTACAGGAGATCATATTGTGAGCAGTGAATGCAGTCGACTAGATTCTGCGAAGTGCAGGTGAAGTGTTGCTTCACCTGGAAGGTATGTTTGGACCCTTGGACAGTGGGGTGGGAGGAGGTAAATGGGCAGGTGTTGCCGGTTGCTGGCGAAGCTGCCATGGGGCTGTGGGGTGTTGGGGGTGAAGGAAGAGTGGACCAGGGTGTCCCGGGGGAACGGTCCCTGCGGAAGGCGGACTAGGGAGGGGAGGGGAATGTGTGTCTGTTGGTGGCATCTTGCTAGAGGTGGCAGAAATGGCATCTGATGATTCTCTGGATGTGGATGCTGGTGGGATGGTAGGTAAGGACAAGGGGAACCCTATCACTGTTGCGGGAGGGAAGAGAAAGGGTGAGGGCGGAAGTGCAGGAGATGGGTCGGACCTGGTTGAGGGCCCTGTCGACAACGGTGCTGGGGAATCCTCAGTTGAGGAAGAAGGTGCACATTTTGGAGGCTCCCCTGTTGAAATTGACATCATCTGAAAATGTGTGACGGAGGCGAAGGAACCAAGAGAATGGAATGGAGTCTTTACACGAAGCAGGGTGTGAGGATGTATAGTCCAGTTGGCTGTGGGAGTCAGTGGGTTTATAAAGATATTAGTGGCCAGTCTATCCCCAGAAATGGAAACAGAGATGTTGAGGAAGGGAAGGGAGAAGTCACAGATAGACCAGGTGAAAGTGAGGACAGGGTAGAAATTGGAAGCGAAATCAATGAACTTTTCGAATTCTGAACGAGACAGGGAAGCAGCGCCAATGATATCATCGATATATCGGAGAAAGAGTTGTGGGTGGGGCCCGGAAGAGGACTGGAACAAGGAATGTTCCATGTACCCCACAAACAGATAAGCATAACTAGGGCCCATGCGAGTACCCATGGCCAACCCTCTGACCTGAAGAAAATGAGAGGAGTTAAAAGAGAAGTTGTTGAGGGTGAGGACAAACTTGGCCAAACGGAGAAGGGTGGTCGTGGGAGGGGATGGTTCAGGCCTTTGCTCCAGGAAGAAGCAGAGAGCCCCGAGACTATCATGGTGGGGAATGGACAATGTAAAGGGACTGCACATCCATGGTAAAGAGGAGGAGGCTGGAACTTGCAAACTGGAAATTCTGAAACTGGCGTAAAGCATCAGAGGAATCACGGATGTACGTGGGCAGGAGAGAGAAGACTGATTCAAGGTAGATCATAGAATCCCTACAATGTGGAAACAGGCCCTTTGGCCCAACAAGTCCACACCGACGCTCAGAGGATCCCACCCAGACCCATTCCCCCTGTGAACCCACGTACTCTACGCATCCTTGAACACTACGGGCAATTTAGCATGGCTAATCCACCTAGCCTGCACATCTTTGGACTGTGGGAGGAAACCCATGCAGACATGGGGAGAATGTGCAAACTCCACACAGACAGTTGCTTGAGGGTGGAATCGAACCCAGGTCCCTGGTGCTGTGAGGCAGCAATGCTAACCACAGTGCTGCCCCAGGAAGAGATGAGTTCTGTGGGGCAGGAACAGGCTGAAACAATGGGTCTGCCCCAACAGTCCTGTTCATGAAGTTTTGGAAGGAGGTAGAAGGGAGCTGTGCGGGGCTGGGGAACTATCAGCTTGGAAGCTGGCGGGGGGGGAGTGTGGAGGTCACCAGATGAAATGAGATCAGTTACCGTAGTCAATAAAATGGCTTGATGCATCATGGTGGGGTCAGGGGGAAGATAGAAGGAGGTATCTGAGGGCTGGTGCTCAGACTCTGCAATGTAGAGGTCAGTACACCAGACTACAACAGCACCACCCTTAATCGTCAGGCTTAGTAACAAAGTCAGGGTTAGACCTAAATGCATGGAGTGCAGTCAGTTTGGAGGGAGATAGGTTGAATTTGGTGTAGTTTATATAGTTTGCTCTGAATTTGAAGTTTATTTACACTAAAGAAATTTGTATTTTCTTTGTTTCAAATGAAGCAGCATAAATTAAACATAAACTGAACAATTTTGTACCAAAAACGCCCAGATATGTTGGATTAAGATCATTTGAAGCACACAGCAGAAAGGTACAATCAGAGCAGGAGTGTAGATTAATTTGAATAAAAGAGTCAGAATCAAGTGCTACCGTGTTAGAAAGCCGAATGGCATGCACTGGTACTGTTGTTGAAATCTACATTCATGAAACCTTAGACGAAGCTCATTTGCAACAGTACAACTGCAATCCCACACAATCACAAATAACTATATGGGAATGGAGCCCATACTGGCTAAATGTGTGTTTGCACGCCGCATGCCTACAGCGTGATTATTTACTCCCACTCCCAGATCCCGGGTTGAAACTTGGGTGACGGGGAGGAGAGTGGACGACTTAACTCACTCAGTGTAATTGTTGCGATTAATTGAGGCACATGAGCCAATCTTTCGGGACTTTTTTTCACCCTTCTCCCACCCGCCCGCTGCGGAAACTACTGCTTCGCTTTTTTTTGCATCTTCGGATTCTTTTCGTCTGAGATCACTTTATTTACAGGAAAAGCTGCCACCCATGGCATGGAAAATCTAACTGCTGACCGAGCGCCTGGCTGATCCACTGTGCAGCCATCACTCAGACCACATTCTCCTTGTCTCTTCCCCCACCCCAACAACAAAATAAAAAAACTCTCCTCTTCCCCCCACCCCCATCAAATCCAGTGGAGGTGGATTCCCCTGGAGCCCAGGAATAACATCTCGGCCTAAACAGGTAGTAGAGAGCCCAGGTTGGAGAGTGTGGAAAGGGGGGAGAGAGAGACAAGCGGGTCTGGAGGTCAGCCTAGACTCCGAGGCCTGCGGCTGGCCGAGTCACCGGCCTCTCTCACCTGCATAGTGGTCGAACACGGTCGGCACATATTCCTCGGGGAAGGCGTCGTTGGCGTAGCTCATGAGCAGACAGGTCTTCCCCACCGCGCCGTCCCCGACCACTACACACTTCAGCATGTCCCGCTGCTGCTCTTTCCCAGCCCCCAGCATGGTCCTCAGCGCCGGCCACTCTCCATCGCTTTCTCTCTGTCTGTGTCTGCGTCTCGGTGCTGGTCAGTCCCTGCCGACTCTTCCAGCCTCCTTCTCCTTCTCCTCTCTCAGGAAATGAGTTTCCCGGTAAATCCAAATTAGGAGATGTGCAAAGCAGCAGCTAACACAATGGCAGCTCTGTATGTGTGTGTGTGTGTCACGGAACTGCGCCAGGATCTTTAGCTAAATCCCAAGAGCGTCTGCTTCCTTCCAATTTCTTTTTTAACACAGGGAAACTGCAAAGGCACAGCTCACTCTTCGGCTTTTCTGTTTTTGTATTCCTCTCAGATGCAAGAAACTCAACCTCAAACCTAGATTTCACTCGATGATGCCGGAATTCGAGCTTCATTTCAACTTGGTTCTGATGTAATCCGATAGTTCGCGGGGAGGGAAGCACATAGCGTCCAACAATTCAGCGAGATTGGAAAAGCAGTCTATAATTTTGTAATTCAAATCCCTAGGGGATTTACCACCGTGACTCTTATTAAACAACCTTTTGCTTTGTAACAAAAATCTTGATTAGAGGTCAAATAAAACCTTTCACAAAAGATGGATGGGAATACGAAAATGATGACAACTTTGTATTTGCATTATTGGGAACTAGTTAAGATTGTGTGGAAGCGACTTTACGACTACAGCGGAATTTTTGTTGGTTTTATGGCCACATTGTGTGGTGAAGATGATAATTTCATACATTGTGTATTAAAGTTTAATTTTGTTATACTTTTCGATACACTTGTACAGTATATATTGGCACATTTAATTACTAAGGAGCCCGACATGCAATTAACAAATATCGTACATTAAGTAGAAACAATCTTATTTGGACTTTTATATCAAGAAAAAGCAAGTTACAAGTTGTTTCAGGTAAGACTCAAAAGAGTAAGATATTTCATTGATTGTAATATTTCTAAAACAGTGTCATCTAAAACTGGAATTTTAACATATACCAAAATAACGTTGTAAGTTTCCGCTTTCATTCTTAAATACAGTGATAACAGTGAGTAGCTTGCGACTTTATATATAAATATATTTATTTACGTGTAAATGAACAGTTAAGGTGAAACCTTTGCCTGAGTTCTGAGGATCCACTGTCACTTCTCACACACGTTCTATTATTGTATATGATTTTTAGATTTAAAAAAAATCTCTGCAGTTGTAGGTCATTGAAAATAGTCCGTTTTCCGGACTGCTGTTTCCTGTGATACTGTATTCAGTGCAGTGGAACGTTCTCTGACGAGTAAATATTTAGCTTCAGAGTAGATCAGACAGACACTAAATACAGAGTTCTTAAAGGCTGATCCCTTCCTCGTGTACATAATTAATTCCACCACCTCCCTCTGCCCATTTGCTGGCTAAAACAAAACGTTGTAAAAGGATAGAGGAAGTTAGACACTATCTTATTTTAGCCATGGGAAATTGTGGCAAGTTCAAACATCTCAATGGTTCATTCAAAACCAGATATGTTGTTTAAATCTACATACCAGAAGCCGATTTGGGTGCTAATTTGGTTAGCATTGGCAATGTTTCAACTATTTCCTAAGGGAATTTGAGCTAAAGCGTGTTTGTAAAAGGATTTGGCTTATTCCAACCATCCACCCCCGCCCGAGCCTTTTTTTGTAACCAAATGTATAAACTGGTCTCATTGGATGTCTTGCAGATCACACACCTAATTGAATTTCCCCTGAAAGATAGGTGTGATCAAATTCACAGGCAGCCTGTGTAACAAAAGAAATAGGTTTTGATCACAGGATAGGCATTTTCAGTTTAAAAAAGTGAAAGAATAATATTATTGGGGGTAATGGTGAGTGAAAACTGGGTTGTAAAAATCAACAATTGTTGAAGATATCTATTGACAATATAATAATTGCTTAAAATATGGATGGAAATACTACGATGCTGAAAGTTACTAGATGCAACAAGATCCGATTTCTCGGATTTCCGTCCTAACATCAACTTGCAGATATATATTAAAACTTTTTTACTTTGGAGTTGATAGTAACTATTAACCCTGGGATAATTGAACAGTCTATCCCATTTCGGCCTATAAACAAGTATTTTCCGTTAAGGTTTACTGTGAAGAGTATGGAAGTTGGAGAACGTGGAGAAATAAATAGCAATGTCTTGAAAAGTATCCGTATTACAGAGGAGGATGTGCTGGACGTCTTTAAAATGCATAAAAGTGGATAAATCCCTAGGACCAGATCAGGTGGGGCCTAGAACTATTGCGGGAAGCTAGGGAAGTGATTGCTGAACCCCTTGCTGAGATACTTGTATCATCCATAGCCACAAATAAGGTGCTGGAAGACTGGAGGTTGGCTAATGTGGTGCCACTATTTAAGAAAGGTGGTAAGGAAAAGCCAGGGAACTACAGACCAGTGAGCCTGACATGAGTGGTGGGCAAGTTGTTGGAGGGGTTACTGAGGGACAGGATTTACATGTATTTGGAAAGGCAAGGACTGACTGGGATGGTCAATATGGCTTTGTGCATGGGACATTGTGTCTCACTAACTTGAATAAGTGATGAATGCAGGCTAGTGGACATTGTCTATATGGAGTTCAGCATGGTGCTCAACAAGGTTCTGCATGGGAGACTGGCTAACAAGGATAGATCACATGAAATACAGAGAGAACTAGCCATTTGGATACAAAGTTGGTTAGAAGGTAGGAGACAGAGGGTAGTGGTAGAGAGTTGCTTTTTGGACTGGAGGCCTGTGACCAGTAGTGTGCCACAGGGATTAGTGCTGCATCCACTGTTTTTTGTCATTTATGCAGATAATTTGGATGTGAATATAGGAGGTATGGTTAGTAAATTTGCAGATGACACCAAAATTGGTGGTGTAGTCGAAAGCACCTGAGAGAACAATGGGATCTTGATCAGATGGAGCAATGAGCCGAGGAATGGCAGATGGAGTTTAAACTACATAAATGTGAGGTGATACATTTTGGTAGTGTAAATCAAGCCAGGACTTATACACTTAGTGGTGAGGTCCTGGGGAGTGTTGCCAAACAAAGAGACTTTGGAGTGCAGGATTATAGTTGCTTGAAAGTGGAGTCAAAGGTAGACAGGGTAGTGAAGAAGACGTTTGGTATGCTTGCCTTTATTGGTCAGTGCATTGAGTATAGCAATTGAGAGGTCATTTTGCAGCTGTACAGGTTATTGTTTAGGCCATTTTGGAATACTGCATTCAGTTCTGGTCTCCCTGCTATAGGAAAGATGTTGTTAAACTTGAAAGAGTTCAGAAAAGATTTACAAGGACGTTGCCAACGTTGGAGGGCTTCAGCTATAAGGAGTGGCTGAATAGGCTGGGGCTATTTTCCCTGGATATCAGAGGCTGAAGGGTGACCTTATAGGGGTTTATAAAATCATGAGGGACATGGATAGGGTAAATAGTCAAGATCTTTTCTCCAGGGTAAGGAAGTCCAAAATTGGAGGGCATAGGTTTAAGGTGAGAGGGGAAAGACTTAAAAAGGACCTAAGGAGCAACTTTTTCATGCGGAGATTGGTGCATGTATGGAATAAACTGCCAGAGGAAGTGGTGGAGGCTGGTACAATTACAGCATCTGGATGGGTATATGAATAGGAGAGATTTAGAGGGATATGGGCCAAATGCTGATAACTGGGACTAGATTACTTTAGGATATCTGGTTGGCATGGATGAAGGGTCTGTTTCCATGCTGTACATCTCTATGACTCTATTTCAATTCACGGTTAGTGAACAAGCAACTTCTCTAAAGCAGTGATAACACAGTGTGGAGCTGGTGGAACACAGCAGGCCAGGCGGCATCAGAGGAGCAGGAAAGTTGATGTTTCAGTCGGGACCTTTCTTCAGAAATGTGGAGGGGGAAGGGAGCTCAGAAATAAATAGAGAGAGGAAGAGTGGGTCTGGGGAAGGTAGGTGCGATGGTGATAGGTGAGTGCAGGTAGGGAGTAGTGGGGAATGGTCAGTGAGGTGGGAGGGGCGGATAGATGGGAAAGAAGACGGACCACCTCATTGACCGATCCCCACCACTCCCTACCTGCACTCACCTATCACCATCCCACCTACCTTTCCCAGCCCCACCCCTCCTCTCCATTTATTTCTGAGCTCCCTTCCCCCTCCCCGTTTCTGAAGAGAGGTCTCTACTGAAAACATCAGCTTTCCTGCTTCTCTGATGCTGCTTGGCCTGCTGTGTTCATCCAGCTCTACACCTTTTTACCTCAGATTCTCCAGCATCGGCAGTTCCTACTATCTCTAAGTTTCACTACCAGATGATGTGAAGGCTTTGGAGAGGGTGCAGAAAATGTTCATCAGGCTGTTGCCTGGTTTGGACGGTATTAGCTGTGAGGAGGCCGCTGCGCCAGACTGGGAGGAGCCTTGTCGTGTCTTTGCTGAGGTTGGGAGTTGTTGGAGGCTTGGAATCGATCGGAGACTGGGAGTCGACCAGAGGTCGCGAATATCAGAGGCTGGGAGAGAAGAAGAAAAATCACAAAGCGGGGAAAAAAAGAGAAGAGAAAGAAGAAGAACAGGCAGAGCAGACGAGCTCTGGCTGAAGGTCCTACTCTGCTGCTATCTTGGTTCCTTCATGTCCCCATCCAGATGCCTTTTAAATGTTGTAATTGTACCAGCCTACACCACTTCCTCTGGCAGCTCATTCCATACACTCACTACCCTCTGTTTGAAAAAAATTGCCACTCTGTTCCCTTTTAAATCTTTCCCCTCTCACCTTAAACCTATGCCTCCCAGTTTTAGATTCCCCTACCCTGGGGAAAAGACTTTGACTATCAATGCCCCTCATCATTTTATAAACATCTCTAACATCACCCATCAGCCTTTGACACTCCAGAGGAAATTGCCCCAGTCTATTCGGCCTCTCCCTATAGCTAAAACCTTTCAATCCTGCCAACTTCCTTGTAAATGTTTTCTGAACTCTTTCAAGTTTAACAACATCTTTCTTGTAGCAAGGAGACCAGAATTGAACACAATATTCCAAAAGTAGCCCCTAAACAATGTACAGCCGTGACATGACCTCCCAACCCCTATACTCAATGCACAGTTTAAGGTAAAAGTTGGAAAGTTTAAATGAGATGTGAGAGCCAGGTTTTTTCATACAGAGGATGGTATGTGCACTGCCAGCGGAAGTGGTGGAGGCGGATTGAGTAGCAAAGTTTAAGAGACAAAATGACAGATACATGAATAGGCAGAGAAGAGAGGGATACAGACCGCATAGAGGCAAAAGGTTTTTAGTTTAGAAAGACATCATGTGTTGGCATATTGTTCGTGGGCTGAAGGGCCTGTTCCTGTTTAATGAATTGTTAGGAATATTTTATCCTTCAAATCTAATTGCCAGAGTGTCCAGAGCTCTAAAATAAATCTTAATGAACTTATAAGAGAAATCTGTCTTCCCTCCAATGTAATATATTGTAAAGTAAAACAAAGAATGTTTGATGTGCATTTTTTTATAAAAGTTCTTACTTTTGATACTTAGAATTTGGATTGTTCAGGCATGATAGAGCTTATATTTACTTCCCTCTCACCCTACTATAATTACTGATATGTGTTATCCTGATTAGCTTACTCATTCTGAATC